GGTGGAAGACAGGGCAGTGCTGAGGTTTTGAGGAGGGGCAGAGGGAGGGCAGGGCAGTGGGGGGGGTTGAGGTGGGGCTGGGGATGAGGGGTGTGGGAGGATGGGGCAGTGGTGGTGGGGGTTGAGGACGGGTTGGGGTGGGGGAGGATAGGGCAGTGCTGGGGTTTTGAGGACGGTCTGGGAGAGGACAGGGCAGTGGTGGGGGTTTTTGAGAAGGGGCTGGGGGAGGACAGAGCAATACTGGGGTTTTGAGGAGGGGCAGGGGGAGGACAGGGCAGTGGGGGGGTGGGGAGGGGCTGAGGGCAAGCGGGAGGTGGGAGAGGGGCCCTGGGGCTCAGCGGGGGAAGGCCGAGTTGCAGCCCAGTGTTGGTACCTCTCCCCCCCCCTCCCCGCAGTGGTCCCCTTCGAGGAGGTGTGGAGCCGCAGTTACTGCCGCGCCCTGGAGACCCTGGTGGACGTGCTGGGCGAGTTCCCCCACGAGGCTGAGCACGTGTTCAAGCCGTCCTGTGTCCCGCTGCGGCGCTGCGCTGGCTGCTGCGGGGACGAGGACCTGGAGTGTGTCCCGGTGGAGACCCGCCCCGTGGCCATGCAGGTGGGCCCGGGGGTGGGGGGCACTCCGACCCCCGCGTGGGGCTGTGGCTGGCAAACCGCCCCCTGTTTCTGCCCCGGCCCAGGGGGAGCGCCGGCCCCCAGTGCTGACGGGAGACCTTGGCTCTGCCAGGCCGCCCATCTAGCCCGGCATCCCGCCTCCTGTGGTGGCTGGTCCCAGCTGCCTTAGGGGACGGGTCCAACCCCCCGGTGGTTAACTCTGGCCGGGGCTGGAGGGAGGGGACGGGGGCGGCTCGTCCTCTGACCCCGGGGAGTGGAAGCGGCTGTTCCCTGGGCCGGAGACACGTCGGGGCAGCTCTGAGACCTTGTGGCGGTGAGTCCTACAGGCGGCCGGTGCCCTAGCGGGGTCCGGGATGTACGATCGTGGGGCCGCGGGCAGGCTGCGTCCCGTGGGGCGGGGCAGCACTTTCCCCACCAGCCCCCCCGGCTCCTGCCCTGGGCACCGGCTTCCCTCCCACTTGGCCAGCTGGTGCCCCCCCTCCCCCGCCGGGTCAGTGCTTGGCCTTGCTGCTGCCCGGGAGAACCGAGCTTGGCCAGTGGCGCGGCGGCCCGGGGGGGTGGCATGGGGTGGGGGGGGGCTGGGTACCAATGAGCTGCATCCTCCCGCCAGGTCGTCCGCCTCAGCCCGATCCAGGGGAAGAGTCAGCAGGAGGAGATGCGGTTCACTGAGCACAGCCGCTGCGCCTGCAGGTGAGGGGGCACGGCCGGTGCATGCAGGTGTGTGTGTGTGTGGGG